CCCCAAAACCCCAAAACCCCAAAACCCCACAGTCAACTCCAATAAAGAATTTTTATAGTTTCAACTTATTTTGTAATATATATTACTATATATGCGTTAAGTATAATAAGCTTTAATAATCTTAGTGATATTTGTTAATACTCATAAGAATACTTGCTTGGTTTCCTTGTCTGAAAGAAGATTGACATCTTTACCCCGTCTAATAAGAGCAAGAGGTTAGAGTAACTTTACATTTCTAGGTGTTGTGATTAGTTTCTTTGCCAAATGAGATTGGTTATTGCCAGTTAATCTTTCTACATAGTGGGCTTACTTGAATACTTGCTGTTCAAATTTCTTCTAAAGTTCTTTTGCACTTTTAAGATATTGCTTCTCGTCACCTGATGATTTAATAAAGCTAGCCTAGCTTCGTGAAACTTAGAATGAACTTGCATCTAAATTTCCCTTGACAAGATATTTATTGAATTAATCAAGTCGATCCATTGCTTCAATACTGCTTACTGTATCAACAAACAAGCTCGCAGCACTTTTATGACCGCCTTTGTTTCTTATCTCAGATGCGATAGTTGAACTGGGCTGTTTGACCTTCCTAAATAGTGGCTAAATATCTGATGTCAAACTCGACATATTTAGATCTTATAGGGACGATTGTCTATCAAACTTCAATTTTGGCTTTATAAATCGAGAAGGGTTGAGAATTTGCTGCATATCAATTAGATCATTAACAGCCTCCTCTCTTGCTCTCTTTATAGTGCCGCCTATTCCTGCTTTTGAAGATCTTAAGCCAGAAAGTATTGAGGAATCCTAAATTGAGTAATCCAAATTAGAATTAGGTCCTTGCATAAAACTCTTAGTTTCTAGAATTGGTACAGGGTTTTGCTATATTTTATTTGAGTTTAGTTAAGGCAAACTAAAGCTTTTTTGCTCAAGGGTGTTTAGTCTACTCTCAGCTAGTTATGACAAAGAAGAGGTATCAACCTTAATAGTTTAATAGTCTTCTAGAGATAGTCTGTTTGGGTCCTTAGAGTTAATCTGATTTTACTTTACCTTGCCATTTTCAACTATGGCAATACCTGGCTTGGGCTATATCTCATTAAAGTTACTACCCATTGGTTTTGCTTTAGCAAATTTCTCCAGATCCTTTGGTATTGGCTGATATAGATCGACTAGTTTATTGCTCTTCTTAAGGCCTTAAGCATTAGCAGCATTTGTGATAACTGTGTCGGTGTCCTAGATACTGTTCTACTCAATGGAGTTACTCTTTTTACTCTTTGCCTCTTTCTATATCTTTTAAGCATAAAACTTATCAAGTTGTTCTTTCATTAGATTAGCAGTAACTTAAGCAGGCTTGAATTTTATTTTTGGATTAGTGATGGTCTCAGGGAAAAGTTCCTCATGCGGCTTGACTATTTATATGATCTTACCCTCATAGTCAAACGTTATGTTATCAGAGTTTCCTCCTGGTCCAGTTTTCTCATTCTTCCTAGCATTCTTTTGCATTATTTCGTACATCATATCAATTTCCTATTACCTTTTCATCTCTTCCACTATCCTTTTTTCTTCACCTACTACTCTTCTTCTGTGTGCTTAAATTTCTCTCTCATCCTAATCAGTAACATCTACGACCTTTATATTACTGTAGTCCTCTTTCTCTAACTTAGACTATTTAACTGCTTAACCTGCATCATTTAAATGCATGGACTTTGCCAGCTCAAACTATCTCATAGGATTCATATTGAACTTCAGCTTTTGAGAACCATTTATTGATTTGGATTTGCTTGAGGTAAGTGACATCATTGACATGTTTTGTGATGCACGACCACCTCCTAATTTAATTCTATTTGATTGACCTTTAATTGATGGTGAAGGCTAAACAGATTAGACATCATTTATCACATTTTGTGGTTTTGGTATTTCAACTATCTTGCTTGGAAACTCAAATTTAGGGGCTAGTCGGACTCTTCTAGTAGGTGTGTCATTACCTTTAAGCTTAAGGGCATATCTTACACATCCATCTCTAATCGGAGCTTCTGGTTCCATTTCCTCATCCATATCAATAACTTCAATTTGACCACAATCGAATTAAGGCATTCCAAAATTATTTTGATGCATGCCTCTTCCACCTACGATAGGTGCACCCTCCTTTATATTTCCAGGAGTTTGTTCTACTGTAAATGAATAGGACATATTCTATATCTGTCTTCTTTAAGAATTCAATAGATACTCATCATCATTCAACTCTGAATAGTCATCTTTCGCCAATCTCTGAGAATTCAATGTTTCATCTAGCTAATTACCATCAATCACACTGTTACCTAGCTAGTTAATGTCTCCTTTCATTGGTATTGGCTCTATAGTTATTAACTTAGTCTTGAACTGAGCAGAAGTATCATAAGTAAAGTAAGCATAATTTAGCGTATTGCTAATTTGATCAGTCATCTTTTTTGTAGTATAGTCATCTAAATTTGCTAATGCTTAATTCACGAGTGAAACTCCCATTGCACGTGTTATCATTTAGCGAGCTAACTTCTCACAAAACTGCAGCATTCCTGATGAAGCTGCATAAGTATTAAGGTCAAAAGGTTGTCTCTCAATGAGTATCCCTCCTGCTGAATCAAAAGCTGGTGGTTATTGCTATTACTACTATTACGCTTGTGTAGGAGGAGCTACTGGATTAGGCAATGGCTGAGCTTATTACTTTATTTGAGGTGTTGGATCAGGTATTTAGTGTTTTGGAGTAGCTTCAGCTCTATTGTTAATATAGTTAATAGTTTATTTTAAATTACGCTTAATTATCATTAGGGGCATTTTGTTGAGCTTAATCCTAATGGTCTCCCTTTTTGGGGGAATTAGCAGCTGATTTTTTCATTGATGGTGATTTCACTTCATCAGCCACATCATTCTATAGTATCAAGTTAATATCAAAACTCTTACTCTTGGGGTGGCTTTGGGCAACTCTATTTTTTCAGACTTCTAAGTTCTATTTGTAAGTTATGGCTACTATTGCTCCTCTTCGGGATCCATTTATGATATATTCCTTCCTTACAATTATTAATTTGCTTATATTATTTCATATCTTCTGGCAAGCTGATATATTCATCATACGGGGTTTTGGGGTTTTGGGGTTTTGGGG